TAGTAGTGTGTGTGTGTGTGTGTGTGTGTGTGTGTGTGAGAGAGAGAGAGAGAGAGAGAGAGAGAATCTGCCTAAAGTGGATAAGTTGTTATATCATAAGTTAACTTCTTAGTTACCGAGTTTGTCAAATGGCTAGAGTCCAGAGAATGCACCTTTGCAAAGTCAGCATGTTCTCCAGTTGAGCAGAAGCAAGTAGCTCCATGCTCTCAAATCATAGGAGTCAAAGCCAAAATACCCATAGAACCTACAAAGCCAAAAATACCCATAAATCCAAATGCATGCACACAAGAAATTAGAAACATTACATAAACTTTCTAATTAAATTTGAAAATAAATGAACCACACATATGTGTCAAATATCACAAAACTATAGAATGCATATTTTGCACTCGGCAAAAGGGTTAGCCGATCATCTACAAAGAAAAATTTTATCCCATGTAACCATACATCTTTAATATTGAGATATTTAGAAGTCACAACATCTGAAACAAAAATTCATTTCCAAGTAAAATAAGAACATTTAAATTAGATGTAACCTATTGGAAAAGTGACAAGAAGTTCCATTGGAGAGAGTTCGAATTCTCGAAGGACTATCCCAGTTGGGGACAAGGATGGGGCTACATGCCTTTCTCTCTGCAAAGCAAAACCTCATTTAGAAAACATATAACACATTTTTCCCACACAAATGTAAATAAGCTTGCCAAAGTCAAATGAATGAAGGACAAACCAAAAACAGCAAAAAAATCAAATGATCGGTGCTAGTCACTCTTCATTGCCCTCCATAGGAAGCCTAAGTGTGGCGATGTCACTATCCTCTCGTGCAATGAATTCCTCCTCATCAAAAGGCTTTGGATTAGTCACAGGATCATCCAATGAAAGATTACACATCTCAAGCTCTATTGGCCTGTCCAAACTAAATGAATCTCCAACTGCATCCCAAAGCCTACATGGTCCAATATAGAAACCCTCACGCCTTCGAGAAAGCAGCCTCAAATTACTATGTACGTAGACTAAATCCTCAGCACGTTGTGATGCCAATCTATTTTGTTTGATTTTTTTTATGAGTGAAAAAGTGCCCCAATTCCTCTCACAGCATGAGGATGAACTTGGTTGACTAAGCAACCTACAAAAAGAAGTAATTTGCTTTAAAATTCAAATATAAATTGATTACCAAAAGAGTTATACAATGCAAGGATGAACTTAGATGAGTTAAGCAATGCACATGAGGAAATAATCCGTTTTAGAAAAATAACAACAAATTCAAATATGCATAGACATAAAAATTAAGTAATTGAGTTACCTATCTGCCAACTTTGCCAATCTTGGAACATGGGCCCCAAAATTTTCCCACCAAGATATAGGGCTCATAGAAAATCTGCTACTCATGACATCCCAGTGGCCAAAATGCCCCTTACACATAGAGAACATCTCGAACTCTTCATGAACCTTTTGCAACTCAGAGGGCGCTGGAAATAGGCGTGCAAAACAAACATTTCGGCCATCAGAAACCTCTCTGTCTTTGTGAGGGGGGAGACGACTAGGAACTTCTCCTAACCACTCATCACTATAATATTTAGGATTCAAAGAGTGAGCCAAGCATTGAAGTGGAGTCTTGCTCTTATTCCAAGAACCTACTAAAATTCTATGAATATCTTCATAGAAAGAACTCTCATTCAAGAAAATGTTCTTTCCCTCATTCCGAAAAATAATACCCCGAACCTCTTCAATCATTGTAGCCCACATATCATACACTTCATGAAGTGTAGGTTCATCAGTATCTATTGCCCTCAACATTGCCAGGATTGGTTCAGTAAAAGCGATCAAAAATTCAATTTTCTCCCACCATAAATCATCAACTAGGCAGCTCTTTACTCTTCGTGCCTTTTCTGCATCCTCCTCTACCAAAACCTTCCAATAGCTATCAACCACCATTCTGCAAAGTGCAGGCTTTACTTCTTTAATTCTCTTTACAATAATGACGGTGGATGCAAAGCGTGACTCTGTAACACTAAGAAGACGAAGCGTTGGATACTGGCTGTAAATTGTAAGGACAGCATTGTGATCGACAACAAAACTTCTTATCATCTTTACATCTCTATCTAAATCTCTAATCCACTGACAGTGTAAATATTTTTCAGCTTTTCTCTCGTCATCAGGTGAACATATATTTTTTAAGGCCAAGTTTAAAGTGTGAATGACACATGGAGTCCAAAAGATATAAGGATGCATACCCTCCACCCTTTGGCCAGCCACACGACAAATTGGTGAATTGTCTGTAATTATTTGGACCACACTTGTTGGTCCAACCTCTGCAACCATTTCCAAAAAAAGATTTTTCATATAGTCAGTATTCATCATCTCCACTGAAGAGTCTATAGCTTTTAAAAATATCGAACCTATATCAGATGCAGCCATAAAATTTATAAGAGGCCTTTTTGCGGTAGTATCAGTCCATCCATCAGTCAATAATGAAACACCTCGGGAACCCCAAGAGGATCTAAATGGCTTCACACTTTGCTCTATGTTTGCTTTCTCGGCATCCAAAAGACTTGTGCGAAGATTATCAAAAGTTGGGAGGACATATCCTTCTAATGAGTTCTCACATGCATATCTGATCATGTCTCGAAAATAGGGGGATCTTATCAAATTAAGTGAGATTCCACTAGCATAGAAACAACGGGCAATCATGCGATCGAGGACATCTTTCGGTGCAAGATCAAGCAATTTAACCAAGTCATTAGCACCCCTCCTTTTTTTCAGTCCAATTGAGCCACTGTTAACCTTCAGAAGGGGAACTGAAGATCTACTGGATGATCTGATTTTTCGTGTGCTACCTTCATCGTTCAACCTAAGCAAGGTGGCCAAAGTCTCATTATCTATGCCTAGGCATCGTTTCACCCCAGTCCCCACTTTCCCAAGAAGGTGTGACTTAACCCTTGTGTACGAACCTTTGAACTCTGCCTTGCAAAGCACGCATCGTAGCATCCAATTACCCCCTCCAGTATGGCATCTTCCTATCTTCTCCATATAGGCCCATAGTGGGTAATTGGGGTTTGCTTCCTTGGGACTTGATTGGGGAAGAGAAGAAGAGCAGGAGCCCAGTTCTAGTTTACCCTTAGGTGAATCGCTAGAAGACATGATATCGGTAAGTGATGCCTAGTTGTGTGAAAGCTCAGACCACTGGCAACCTGAGATGCAAAACTACTCACATATTATGCATGCAGCCTCAATCAAACTAGAGCATAATCTACAAGGAATTAGGATTCAAAAATCAAAAAAAAACTATATAAGGATGAGGCCCTAAACCATCAAACTAAGGCGCGCCTCAAAACTTCACTAGAAAATATTGTTTTGATGCTGAAAAACCCTCAATTTGATCATCTAGAACTTAAGATGTATGGACATGAGAAAAAATAGATTTCAAGTCTTGGAAATAGTGTATCTTGTAATGATATTATCTAGACTATCAATTTTCAAGATTTTCAAGTGTTCATGGATCTACTCGATTTCCAGTATTTTTTAATCTTTAAATTTTATAAGTAGATATGAAAATAAACTTTCAAGCCATCACAAAAAATTATGATACTGAAACGACATATTTCGGCACTATTTGAAGGTGTGCCTCACTTTGATTGTTTGGGCCCTCAGCCTTATGCAAACCACACCCTTTAAAAATAATATGCAGAATGCATCTATGAACAATAAATTTGAAGTAATGCATATACTATATTTACAACGTTCTAACATATTTACTACACAGTATGTCATGTAAATGTAATGTATATACCACATATAGTATATGCATAGACTATAGAACCAAGAGTAAACGAATGATAGGAATGAGATAAAATCGACCTACTACATGCGTGTAGGTATTTCTGAGTATGCATACTAACCCCAAAATAAAGAATTTACTATATATATACTATAATATGGATGTAAATATGTATGTAACTATGTATAATGAATATATTAACATTTATAATTGTTTCTTACACAGAGTATGCTATGTTATAATATAGCATACATGGATACTAGCAACAACACACATGCACACAACACTCAAACACACACACATGCACAAACGACTATTGCATATGCAAATTTTGCTATATAGATATGAAAAAAAATTATACATTATGTAACAAATCAACAAAGCAAAATCAAGGATACACAAGACATACACAGTTCCAAGTATTGTCAAAACTACATCCCAAATTATCGAAATTACCGTTACATATGGAACATAAGTACCGTGCTCTGGATACTCACATAAAACAAATATAGCAGTTCATGTCAGATCTCTTACGAAGTGTAAACGTTGACCTCTAATTGTAGACTATAGAAAAATAGCTAACAATTTAGGTAAAAGGAATGGAAATAGTTGGCTGATCAAAGAAGGTAAACAGGAAGCTTAGATCTTGCCTGGTACCACTCACTTGCAAATAGAACTTTAGTCAAAATTAGGTAAGATGATAGGCCAAAATTGCTCTAATTATCAGCATACACATGCTACAGATACCTAGAAAGTGGCCATCTCATATTCATTTAAACAGAATCTAATCCATAATGCTCCAGCTACCTTCCACCCAAAGATACAAGACAATTACGAAGACAAATAAACCCTAATATCAAGTGAGCTCCTTTAAGGACAATGTATACCATCACTAGCAGATCCAAGTATAATACCTTTCAACTTTGCAATACACTCCAGATCCAGCATTTTAGGTTATACATGTTTGACATAAATGCGTTGTAAGCCACATCTAGGCAAGTGAAAATAAAAATCTAGGAACATAGACTGTGTAAAACAAATAGATACTGATTTAATGTAGAAATGGACTCATTAACATAGAAAGACGGGCCCTTATGAAGTCAATAACTCATTTCTCTAGAAAACTGAATGAAGGTAAAGAAAAGCCTTTGTTTTGATGCACTAATGATTATTAGGGTAGTTTGATGGCTCTTTTGTATTAATGCAAAAGGAGAGAAGGTTGTAGACCAGAAAATCCACCAAGTCATGCTGCAGCGCCTAAAAACCAGAATGGGAGAGAACCCCATAGCGGAAAAGTCAGTAAAGAATGACACTTTAAGTACATCTTGGCGATCAAAGATTTCAGTTCAGAGGAAAGCTTTACCTTGAAAAAACAAAAACAAAAAAAAAGCTAGTAAGAAATAAGGGAGCACCCCATGGAGTTGAAGTTCAGCCCCAATCACAGTCTTGAAAGCATACTCAATTTGGGTAGAGAGAAATATCAAGCAGTTACACCCCCAAGAGTATACTCCATTCGGATAGAGAGAAATGCCAAGCAGCAGACTGGACAATAAAGGCTTGTTTTGCTAGTTTTAATATAAACTGGAATATCATGAGGTTTGGTCAACCGTAACAACTAGAAGGATCAACCTAGTTCAACCTCATCAAAACAGTAGGTAAAATCCTATCTAGCGATAAGATTGGCATCTCCTTTACAACTTATTCTGCAAATCAATCTGACCAGTTGAACCAGCAACCAAACAAATTTGAACCAGACTTATCACTTGCCCTATTTGATACCAAAGTTCAAGAAACATGCATAGAACCATGAAGTTCTGCTTTGGTAGTATTCCACAGACATGCAAAAGTAGAAAATGAATAAAATGGCGATGAGATGAAAAACTAAAAGAAAAGGTTTGCTCAGATCCAACCATCAAAATAAAAAAAGAAATAGTATGTCCACATCTAGTACAGCCAAATAGTAGAAAACTTCAAGCACATTAGCCATGAAAATTTGGTTCATGGACATAGGTTTAGGAATACCGATCTTGTGTTATAAAAGCACCTAATCAACTTTTGTACAAGCCATCATTTGTATTTAACAATGGGTTGCCCAAAGTTGGTCTTAAGTTTTTCACTAAAGGACCTAATTATAACCACTAAGTATCTATGAAAATACAAATGATGGCTGGCCCAATAACGATTAGTGGGAATGTTGTGTATTTACTGAACACAAAGTTGTCACTGAAATTGGGACTTGTATCATTGCAGGTCAGATCAAGTAAAATCATGGTAATAAGATGGCAATAAAAGAGGAAAAAAAACCTAAGGAAGACACTAAATAAGAATTGGAAAGCCAAAAGAAAGAAAAGCAACAATTTCAAGGCAACAATAAATTTGAGCAGACAAGGAAATGCGAAGAAAAGAAAGGAGATAGAAACAAAAAATGCAGACTTCAAACCCTACTCTACCTAAAAGGAAGCGAAAGATAATCTTAAAACAAAAGGCAAAAAAAAAAAAGGCAGCTAAGACTTCAGATTTACCATGTTTATCTTTATTCAATTGAATCACATTTCAACAAATTGTAGTTGAAGATAATTGGCCAGGAAGTTTGAGGGCAACTCAGTTTTCAAAACAGTTGATTTATGAATTCTAGATTAGGGAATGGTACAATCACAACCCCAACTTTCTAGAGTCAATCTCAGTACCTGGAACCAGAAGTTCATGTAAAGATTGATATTTGACTGACATGCAGAGTGTGACTTTGGTTTATTTGATCCCCGTCAAACCCTAGCAAAAATCACATCGAACAAGTTAAAACGTCAATCTAATTCAGTTGAATTAAGGGCATGAAAAACCTAGTAAAAACATATATAAATATCAAACAAGTTAAAATGGCAAAAGGCAAGCAGAGATTTGGGTGATAGAATTCTGAAACCATGAAACAAAACAACAAAAAAGTTAATGAAAAAGGAAAACCAAGAGAAATTAAGTATGCGAACCTCGTATGCATCTCAAAAGTCACTGGACTGTACCCAGGTTTTAGAGAGGGGAAAATAAGACCGTTTGCCGAGGGGAACCTCTGCCTGAGAGTCATATTTTTGGGCCTAATTTTCTGAATGGGAAAGCACACCATGCACATATTGTGTAGGGTTTCAAGATATGCAACCTACGATCTAGTGACGCACGGCAGAGATGATACGACGCATTGTCAGCACATGCATCATTTTATGTGCAGGTGTCCTCGTTACATGACATAGGTTTTGGGGTTCCTTTGGATCCTAGGGTTGGTCCGGTCGGGCACACGTCTGCCTGATCCGAACCCTGGGTTCAAGGTTTTGGGCGTGAACCCAACCTATTGAGTCCAAAACTTGGACTTAAACCTGGACCGGGTTTGATCAGGTCCACGTTTAGAATTTAAAAAAAATATTTTGGAAAGCCAATCAAAATCATGTATTTCAGCTATGGGATTGTATACAATGAGACTATTTATTTCGGTGGGCACAATCCTTTACAACCATTTGATGTGAATTTTGATAGCTTAGATGTGTTACAAAGTTCGAAAAAATTTAAGTTTGAGCTTGGTCAATAGAGTAATTGCAGCCACTTAGTTTCACATCCAATAGCCATGATTATTGTAATCCACCTTGTATCGAAAGATAAAACATGTCATTCTATACTTTCCCTTCAACAATATATACACACACATATCATAAATGAAAAACTTATCACAATATTGTATTATTTCAAAAAAAAAAAAAATTCATCATATATATATATATATATATATATATATATATATATATATATGTGTGTGTGTGTGTGTGTGTGTATGTATGTGTGCGTGTGTGTGTGTGTGTGTGCATATGTTCGGATTGGGTTGACCTAGACCTAGACCCAACCCAAATTAGACTTCAGTCCAAGTTTTTGGACTCAAACCCGGTCCACCGTGTCTTAAATTTGGACCCGATCATGTTGACCTGCCAGACTGACTTGATTGCCACTCCTATTGGATCATTAGATGGCAGCTAGTATAGATAAACTTCTCAAAATGGCTTCAACCATTTAACACTTTACTTATTGGAAAATTTATTCATGCGAATTGGACCGCATGACTACATATGCTATGCAAGAAGTGTAAAGATTTCTATCTTAAAGATTGATACAAGTAATTGTTCCATCTAAAAACAATGGAAACTAACAGTCCAAATGTTTTCTTACTAGAATTATTATTTCTAGTTATTTAACATTTACTTATTTTTTCATATTCATGATCTCCATGGTAAAGATTACATGTCCTAAAAATTAAGTCTAAAAGTCCATCTCAAAAATATATTTATTAATAGGCCCACATTTTTACATATGGGGGCTTGGCCGCATTGAATACCAGGTCCTTACTTATTTGTAACTATTCTAAGTCATAATAATGTTTTTTTGGGGGGTATTTTGAAAATAAATCAAAAAAAATTAGTAGAGTTGTTAAATAGTTAAGTTCTCGTAGGTATTTGGATAAAACTTTGTTCTATATAATATTACGTGCTTAGATTCTTGCTAGGTGCTTTCCTAGTATGGACCATAATTAACAAGTCCGGTAATAATAATATATTAGCAAATCAAAAGATTAGTAATAAATTTGCTCCAAAAAGTCTGGTAAACAATCGTGTCAAAAATATGGATCGCCTAGTTAAGTTAGATAATCGTTAATATTTTGGATTAACTCAAAATAACAAGAGTGAAAAAATCAAATATATAAAAATAACACAATATAAGATTATGAGTTGCAGTTATTATAGGATGCATTAAAACCATTGAAGTCTAATTTTTATGTCTTACCTAATACTATTAGAGTCACACTAGACAAATTTTTATCTAAACTTCCAATAAATAGAACAACAATGCTTATTATGTAGTCACAGCATAAAACACATGATAGATATATTGGAAGCATATAATACAATAACAACAACAACAACAAAAATAATAAACATAATAACTATATTAGAAAAATGACAAGAAAGGGATCCAAGGACAATTATTGGATGAGAAAAAACCAAAAAATACTTTCATAATAGGATTGAAGTTAACTAAAACAAAAAAATCCAAAAGTATAAAATAGTAGTATTTTCAAATTGTTATATTATATACACTGATGAAATTAAAACAAAAATAATGGGTGAAATAAATCAAATTTCTATATACAAAAAAAAAGTAACAAAATGGTTAAACAAATCCAAATATTTGAAGCTCACTTGAATTTCTAGCTGCCTAAATCTTTAGTTGTCACTTAATCTCTCTCTCTTGGGCTTTATAATGACACTATGTGTTTAGAGGAAATTTTTTTTTTCATTGGGTTACTTTTCCTCTAATGCCAACTATTATTTTGAGGTATATGGTAGTTTTAACAAATTATTTTTTTGATAATACATTGCGTGAAAATTTTTTATGAAAATTTTTGCTAAATCTGGATTCTTAATTTTACTTTCACTTTAATTGTGTGCATCTCTAAACCAAAATTGAAGGATATTAAATTAATAAAGAGAAAATTTACAGGGGAAAATGCTTTTTTTGAAAAAAAGATAAAGAAGGAATTTATATCAGTTTCATTAAAAAAAAAAAGCAATCATTTTACTATCTTTCGAGAAAATCAGAGAATTTTTGATAAATTCGTACTTGGTAACTTTAATATAGACAGGCCAATCTAGATATTTGATGGTATAGGGCGGCCAATGTAGAGGTTTGCTAGTATTAGAATTTTATGTGAAGTACACTGGATTTGTTATGGTTTGCCAGTATGACTGGTCAATATAGACATTTTTAATTCGAATCCCAAACGTAGGTTGTTAGTAACAATGTTTTGATGGTTAGCCGTTTTGATTTCTAGGTACCCATTGAAAAATGGGTTCCATAATATCATATGCTTTTGAAAGTTCATTCATATGCCCACGACAGATCAACTACTTAACATTCTACTTATGTTTTTTTATTTCATCATGATCGTATAGTTTTATTCCAACTATATGTCGTCGGCTACACAAATCCTATTCTATCATTTTGCTCTATCAAATATCATACTCTTAGTTAGACATAAGTCACATATCTCTTTTCACTACCTTTATCCATGCTTTTTTTATGTCTTTCTCATGCGTTTTTTGGACTTTCCACTTGAACCAAATCACCCATCTTTTGATATAATTTCAAACTATCCATCAAAATAAACATTATCATGAGTTGGAATAGTTGTAATTGGGTAATGTTAAATAGTTGATCTCTTATGGGTTACTTGATAAAATTTTCGTTTTCTTCACAAATATAATATACCATGTAAATAATTTTTTGGTATGAACAAAAGGTTATGTTCAATAAATATGTTAAAACTAAAGAAAGGGTGAGGTTTGCATAAGGTCTCAGCTCTATACAAGCAAAGCGTACTACTAAATTTTGCCGGAAAATGTAGTTATGGTATTATAAACCTTATTAATAATGATATTTAATTTTTTATAAATAGCAAAGAACGAGTTAGTCTAGAAACACATAAAGATCTTAAAAATAGACGGTCCAGATAACTTGTTACAAGATCTATTAATTTTTAGGACTAAAAATTCTTTTTGGTTTTTTATATTCATATAATCCAAAGACAAGATGATTAATTGGAGAGTTTTTCTACTTCAAAACACTAGATTTTGAGATGCACCTTACTTCTCTGAGACCTTATAAAAACTTTTTCCCTGTAGAAAAAGATGGCGACTAACATGGGTACTGGTCAATGGTGCATGATATGTCAGATATCGATGTAGTTTAAAAGATATCGGTCTCTACATTGGTTGGTATATCATGTTACACAATTTTAAATGATTCTATAGTAGTTATAATTATGTTAAAATCCGTTTAGTATCACTCAAAATATTCATTATAAATCCATCATTTAAGAACAAACAATAATTGGCAAGTCTAAATCCTATTATTATCTGCTATGTTGGCCAATACTATTGGATAGTACATAAACGCATTCAATTAAGCTTGCCATTGTAGACTACTTACTATTGGTATGGAGGGTTACAATCACTCCGAAGCGTCATATGTAAAATCAAACAGCTAGGTTTGTATTAGAAAGTTTGAGAATTTTTGTTTAAACAAATTTGAGCACAAAATGGCACATCCTTCACTGCTTAATTTAATAATTGAGGACTAATTTATCAATTGGGTAGGGTTGTATCACAAAGTTCGAAAAAATATGTTCTGAACCTCACACACAAACTAACACATCCTTATCTGCTTGATTTAATAAGGACTATTGCAACCTTGTTGTATCAATAATAAACGATCTTATTATATATTTTTCTCGAATTCAAAAAGGGTCAATTGGGAGGTCCTAACAAGGTGCGGATGGAAGTTCCAAACAATTTACATGAAATTCATACTAACATAGTGTATGAACCCTCAAAAGAAATGAAATAGAGAGTTGAATAGAAACAACGTATTTTTAGGGCACATTTTGGGTGGTACCGTTTGATAATTGGAGTAACATTTTCTTAACACCATTTATAATGACAAAGTATACAATAAGTCTTTGATTAGACTTTTTAACTTTGGTAAAAGACGGGAAATTTGTCACCAAAATAAATTAAAAAATAAAAAAATAATTGAAAAAAAGGAAAAAACCCACCTTAGAAACCGAATATGCTCAATTCGAACTTGTTGTATATGCCTAACCCCACCTTAAAAGCCTTCCTTATTTAGGCAGTGGACTGGTATAACAGAACCCTCCAACCAAACAGCTCAAAGAGGTCAAAAAGGCCTCAACAAAGAAACATGTGACCTGTTCGGCTTGCCCTTCCCTCATGATACATTTCGAATTGTGCTTGACTTAATAAGATCGAGGGCTCAGATTGAATCTATCACTTAAAGAGTGGGAAGTTAGAAGCCCTTTAACTATAAATACCCCTATTTAGTTTGATTTTGGGTTGACTTTTGGACATTTTTAGGCTTCAAGACCGTAGAATCTCCTCAATCCCACCTCATGCTATTGAACCCCAGAAACCATAATCTCAATTCTGAAATTAAGAACCCTAGAATGCCCCAATTATTCAAGAACCCTAATATAATTCGTTCCAAAA